GGATAGATTAAGTAGTATCTGCTGATGCTTGTGAACTGGGCTTGGACCAATAATGCTGCTCTGAATTGATCAAACAAATAAACATACAATGTATTTTGTTCACCAAGAGAGATGAGAAGCTCCCATGAAAGTACTTAGAGCAATCTCTTAAACAAATAATGAGAACCAACAAAAAAACCAGGCCCCATTACCTTGACCATCTAGCTTCATCCTCTATCGACTTTCCAAGTTTGCTCCGTCTTTCTTCCACAAAACGACGGCAAATTTGTTCGACATTTGTCAAATATACTCGAACAAGTTCCCTTCTATATTGAATGTCAAGGCAACGGAAGGGACGATCTGCTCTCTCCCTGCAAACCAATGGCAAATGTAAAAATATATAGAATTGTTATATGATGCAATAAAATCAATTTGTAATTGTAACCATTAATAGATTAACTCAATCCAAAAGGATAAATTAAATTTAAAACCAAAAAATCTATAAAAAGAGTGTAAAACTATCACAGTCAAACAATTAAAACATTGCAAATATTCATAAACATGTTATCCACAGACACCTGATGACTTGGACTTGAGCTTTAATTATTAAATTATCAGCATCAATAAACCCATCTAACAATTTTGATAGCTCCATAAATTTTTTCCATCCCCAATCGTGCTCCTTTTTCCAAAACCGATGAAGTGTATCTGCAATTTTTTAAATACATATTCAGGCCGGTCATGATTGAAAATGAAAAATTGACCACAAAAGTAATAGTGATAATTGAATAACTTACCAGAATACTTGGACTTTTTAGGATCTTTGTTCACCACAGCAATAGTGAACTGTGCAAAATGACTCCATCCTATTTATAGTAGAAAAATCACATGATATCAACTCCAAAACACACAATTATAATTTCAAAGGAATTCATCACATTTCATTTATCATACCTGGAAGAAGCTTGTCATGATTAGCCACACAGAGAAATAAAGAAAGATGATTACAGACATCACATCCCTGGGGGTAAATCAAAATATACCTACCATCCAAATTTGAATAAATATTAATGTCAGCAGCCATATTGAAATCATATAATGGCATCACATGCCATATGCATGCACATACAGTAAAAGATATCAACGGACAAGAATACACAGTTAAACAAAGACAGCAAGATGGACCACAATGCCCAAAAATTTGTAAAAGATCATCAGTTGTTGTGTAGAAAGACAAAATTTGCAATAGAGCTGCAAATGATAGCTGCGTGACAAGCACATAAAGATACTCTAGAACCATTTTTTCGGAAGAATCATACCATTTGTAGCTTCCAACTTCAAATACATCACTTCGAAGTTCTCTTTTGTTAATTTGTGAAAACTTGTCGATCTTCCATGTCTGCTTTCCATACAATTCAGAAGGTTGCGGTCCTGGAACGTAAAAAGCAGAAAGCAATTATCCTAAGAATACTATGTAATCTAAGTTCACATCAACCACGAGAATCGTTACTAGGTTTTTTTACTAAGAAAACAATTGTTTGCTTCATGTAAATCTTCAGCACCAATGCAGAAAGTTTGTGTCAACACCAAATTAAAGAAATTAGCAGTTGAGTTGCAAATTGCCCAAATTCATTTCCAATTCCTTCAAATTTAACAATATAATGTTGCCATAGCTGATTGGGAGAAACGATCAGCCTCTAGACATTTCTTAAAAGAGGGTGAAAAAAAAAAANGAGTAAGAGGAGCACTCAAGGGTCTGGACACGATAGGCATTTTTGGTTTTGAAAGCTTTTCGTTCGTGACCAGCACTTGCTGCATAGAAGGCTTTTCAGTTGCGACGGGCACTTGCAGTCCAGAAGTCCTTTCACTTGTAGCAGGTAGTTGCTGTCCAGAAGACTTATCAGCCAGTTTTGGAGTCTCAATTTTCTGAGCACCAGGTTTCCATGGGGCAGAGTTTGCAGCTAGAGTTTCCAATCTCAGTGATCTATCAGCTTCCTTTATGCTGTCTGGAGATGGTTTCCCAACCACGACATGGTTGCTGGCAGCATTAATTGTTGGCTCTGATGTTGGCAGAGCAGTAGAAGGAACACTTTTGGAAGGGCTCCTGAGAGAGGATATTACACCAGCTGTCTTCTCTGTAGATGCTTCCACCCGAGCCACGTCCTTGGCACTAATATATCTCTGTGGTGAAACTATTACTTTCTCCTATAGTCAACAATGCAGAATCTCATCAATCTATGTGAATCAACAAGAGGGGAGGCCAGGAGGGGAAGTGGTGAGGAGTTTTTAGAATATTCCAGCACACAGCTAATCTTTCCTAAACACATTCTCAAACAAAAGAAAAAATTTATGAAGCAAGAAAACCACCTTTCCCACATGCTGCATGGACCAGTTTACCCTATCCTGGAAGGATTGAACAACAGTTCGAGACACAGACCCTCTTATTGCTCCAGATTGATCAGTTTGCTTCCCTGCAACTGACACGGATTCAAGTGATTGACTAGGTGTTTCATTAGCCAAGTCAACCGCGTCAAAAGCCACCTTGCCTCGATGGTTCCTCACTCTAGATGTTAAATAAAGAAGTCATTATATTTACCATAACCTATTTGCAACAATTACATACATGTGGAATAAATGTTTACCTGCTCGGTGATTGTATGTGTTTTTGGTTTGGAGGATTTCCTCTATAAGGACCATTCATTACAACCGAAGGGACTGAATCAGTCGAGCATGTGGATGAACTATCGTCCACTGCAGATGGGGTTCTCTCTGCTATGCCATTTTGAACACTGGAAAGCTCATCAACCACACTGCTACTGCCTTCTACGGGAGGATGCATTTCAGCAGTACCAGTATCCCAATTAACAGGATTCACATCTCTGTCTTCTGCATCAGGGCAAAGTACTTCTGAAACACAATCGACTGCATCAGATACATCAGAAACATCTTCCATTGCATCAGCTTTTTCAAGTACGATTTTGGAATCCATGGATAAAAAGTCTTTCCTTTCACCAGCATGAGTATCTGGCTCAGTCTTGCATTGCAGAACAATGTCAGCTTTATCTTCCCTTCCCTTATCTTTGGCTTTGCGATTATTTCGTTTTTGTTTTCCCTGAATGAACACAATAATATGTAATAACCAACGGTAGAAAGCATTCGACCAAATAAGGCCAATACTTTGAATCTTGATTGGATGTACGCATATAA